AGAAGGAGATAAAAGCAATAAATCATGCAATTGGAAATTATTGAGTTTGTTTTAATCCAATTAATTGATTCATTGCTTATTATGACAGGCCTATGAAATAGTGCACTTGATGAATGAAACAATCTTAAGACTTGTGAAATTGTTTTTCCTTATGCTGTCTCTTGTTGAAGTATTGTGGTTGAAAGCATACATTGTCAAATATTGTCTTTGAAATGGCTCAGGAGCGTCTGCAGCAGTACTACTCCAGCAGGGTGGTGTTGACTCCACATGAGGTGGAGAAGGCTCAGTCTCTGGCTCTGGATATTTGTACTGAGATCCAGGGCTTTCTCCACAGCCGTCATCCGGACATGCCTTTGGGAGAAATGAACCTCGGAGGTTCTCTTCTGGATGATTTACAGGTAACTTTGCAAAAATTGCAATTTCTTCTCTTGTTTGGAGATGCAGTTTTTTATCTTCAAATACTAACTTGCAATTTTTTTTGTAGCATAGTGTTGCAAAAATATTCACAGACTGTTTTTAATGTGTGTTTATATTTAGGTGGTCAGTGCAGACCATGCATGTCTGCTGGTGCCTCTGCAGCTGGAGCCTTCATTATGGCGCCTCATTCCTGGGGAGGAGACGCTCCTAACACACCCTTTGCACTGGATGGTCCGACGGATCAACCTGGAATATTTCCCTAGAGGACGCAGTTACTGGGACAGGTAATCTCACACATATTAAGCAATGTAATGGTGTGTTGTAAGTAGGGCTATCAATGTGAACCTGTGCGATTAAAATGAACTCTTTAAGATGTTAATATTGCATAGTGCAGATTACTTATTTTGAGCTAAAGCCTCTATCCTGCAGAGGGCTACCTAGTTCACAGCAGCACATTATGAATTCTACACTGCAATAACCCTCAGCAAAAAGTTAGTTTTCAGCAACAGCAGACAGCAACTAAAGTTGAAAATGTTTAGCCAGCGTGTCACATCTACATGTATGAGATCAAACTTTTACATGTATGAATTATGCCGACTGGATGAGGACAAGAGACTGTTGCCTCGTTCCACAAGTTCCATAGGCAATGAATGACCACAAATTCCATAGGAAATAAATGGAGAGGAGCTTATAAATTAATTAAAACAAAATGACTTCCTTTAAACTTTTCTGAGTATTAAAATCCTGGAACACAGAGAATCTTCAGACATTTTTGGTTTGAGTCATAAAACATTTTCTTACACAGTTTTTCGAAACTGTGCATATTAGTGGTGGTTTTTTGATATGAGTTATCTGGGCAGTTGCCCAGGGCAGCATTAGAAAGGGGTGGGGAATCCGAGAACTAGAAAATAAAATATCCATTAGTTGTCTCCTGAGTAAGTTTGCTACTTCTTGTATGCATGTGTAGTGGAGAAAGCTTAAGTACAAGGAGAGTACATTACCTGTTTTCTGCTGCAAAAAAACAGATAACTGCTTGTCCTTTAATTGGGTGGAGTGCAGCAGAATGATTAGTTTGCTTAGGGAATCATTACTGCAAGAACCACAACTGGATTCATACTTGTATTTCAAGGTTACAGAGTTAGGCATAGTGATTAATCGTGATTAAAAGAATTGTTTTAGTGTGATTAAGCTGACTATATTTTATTAGTCGATTGACTGCAGTAGTTAAGTCTTAATTTGTAGTATCACAAGTTCTTTTGATTTGATTATAAATTCACAATAAATCTATCTTAACTAACCTAACCATAACTTGGTTCTTGTTAGCTTGTCTGTTTAGTTTTAGGATCAGTAAAATTCAGCTACTCAGGAGACAAAACAGGGGGATACTGCTGATGAATATGTTTTGTGTTCAGCTTGATATGTCTACCTTTGGATTTTGTAGGCACTTGGTGGGAGGTTACCTGTCAGCAGAGACTGTGGTGAACATGTTCAATAAGGCTGTCATGGAAACTGCAAACTGGCCGTCAATCAGCAGCACTTTGGACTGTCTGGTCAGACCGATCCTGGGAGGGCCTGAGCTGAGACTGGAGATCCGGTGTGTGTGTGTCCTTGATGTTTCAAACTTGCTACTATCATTCCATAGTAGCTTTTTCTTTGCTAACATGTTACATTTTAACTTTTCACTGATTTATTTTGTGAATGCTGAATTCACATTATGAATTGTTCTATATTCATATATTACCTTTAGGATTTCTATGCAGTTGCAAACTTTGCTAATGATGATATTCCAAAATAACAAAGCTTGGAAGTCTAAAAGAAGAAACTGAATTTTCTGCTAGCTGATAGATCTGCTTTCTCAGCAATGACAAGTATCTCACAGATACTGAAAATAGTTTTCATGGAGTCTTCCTCCCTCAATAACTATGTACACCCTGAAGAGTTTGATGGATTTATTTGTAAATATATTAAGAATGATACATTCAAAATATGTAGCCTTAGGTTATTTTCAAATGTCTGCCTCTAACTGGGCTTTTGATTACATGTGTCTGCTTAGGATCTTCACATTCCTCTGTGTGTGTGCATGTGTATGAATGCTGAATCCAGTGGATTGGAGGTGCAGTGTGTTTACTGGACAGAAAATATCTTATTTTTGAGTTGATCTAGCTGAACATTGACAGATTTTGATCATAAGTAGATTGAAATTGAAAAATGGTGAAAATGTTTTTACACCTGTTTTTGTGATCCTACAGGTCTGAAAGCGAAGCAGAGAGCACTAACCAACCGCTCTTCATCTCCATGTTGCCCATCCTCAGAGAGGGTGATGTAGTCTTGACTGCCCAGCCTGAGATCACCTCCCCCTGGGTAAATGCCTGGCACCTCTCCCTCTACCCTTGGGAGACTCGGCGCCTGGCCCAACTGGACGCCAGTGATGATGGCTGCCGCAGGCTGATGCTTAAAATCCTGAAGGCCGTGTGCAAACTGAGCCCACCTTTGCGACACCTCCAGGCCGCCCCACTAACCAACCTGATCCTGCACCTTAGCGACAGCGAGAGCGACTGGTCTAAGAACAGCCTTGATATCAGATTCCAGCATTGTATCACTGAGCTTATTGGTCATCTGGAGCAGGAGGCATTACACAGTTACTTCAAACCGGCCGTCAATCTGCTCAACGGTTTGTCTGAGGATCAAGTGGACCAGATGGGCTTTATGCTCTACTGTGCTGTGTCAGACCCTGACATATTGCTCATTTGACTGCCTGGACCTCCACAGAGATTCAGAAGCTCCTTTGATGCCAACAGCTGCAGTTCCTGTGACAAGACAGGTGACGCGTCTGCAGAACAACTGTCAGTATGATGATTAAACTGGGAAAAGTCCAAGCAGAAGACGAATTGTGCCAATGGACAAAATGAAGTACAAAACGTTAATACATTAGGATGCACCTCTGCTGCCAGTTTGGCTTTTTCTTGGTTATTTTTGCACATTCATAAATTAAATTAAAGGCTTCTGTTTTTGTTCTAACAGCAGTATTGCTCCATTATTTAAAAAAATCATTTGAATACTCTACCTATGCAGGACAGTGAACCTCTGTAGTATGGGTTTGGTTTGATAAATGTGTTTGATCCTCATTAGGATTTGTTTAATTGTATCTGAAAAACAATCATGCGCCAAATTTCATCATTTCATGTACTTAAACAATGAAACCTTTTGTGGGCATATCTCATCTGTGTTTTTGGTTGAGTGTTTCTTGTGTGAAACACTCAAGATGCGAGGATGAAAGCAAATAAAATATTAATGTCCTTATTTACCTTGTAATCTTGCATCATGTTTGCTGTCCATATCATGCTAGTATAGTAATGGTAATCAGATAAATAAACCATCTTCCCCAGTAACAAATGGTAGACTTAAATTTGTGTTAATATTCATGATAAAATTAAAATTTTTTAAGGTTACTACTTATTGTAATTTTAGGTTTTATTCTGCACTCAGTTCATTTCTATTGTTCCACTGACAACAAACATGTCTCAGGGATTAAGGGAGAGGTCATATTAACTTTGACGCAATTCCAGTCAGTCTGATACATTCCAATACTATTCAATTACAAACCGTTAAATTTAATCAAAAGTATATTATAACACTGAAATCTATTAATTGCTTAATCCCAGTTGATAAGAAGTTATTTATACAGATAACTGTATAAATGACATCAGTGAGTTCAAAAGATCCAATGACTTTGCAGCCCTTCAGTTAGAAAATACATATGGTGACAGGGAAAAAGTTCCACTGCTTAAAAAGAAATCTTCTGCACTACTTGACAATTGGTCTTAATGGGGAAAAAGATGAAAGAAACCATATTAAATGGCTAACCATGTCCAAGAAAGAAACACAGTTACACATGGAAATATTAATCCAAGAGTTTTCTGTGATTAGGGGGAAAAAAACATAAGCAAAGAGTCTTGAGTACTTTCAAGTACTCAAGAAAATAGGAAAGAGTGCAGTGAAGCAACATCAATTAAATAGGATAAATGCGTTATGGGAAAGATAATAGAGTGAGGAAAAGGGTTGACATGACTGAATTTTGGTGAGTCCTCCATTAAAACTAATCGGCAACAGCACTGTGCTGTTTATTGCTAAAAAAACAAACCAATAGTGTTTTATTTACTGTGTTATTATAATGTAAAACTAGATTCAGTTTCTTTTTGTTGTATATTTGTTAGCTTCATCTAATACAACGGACAGATTTACTGTGACTAAAATTTACATTAATGCAGATGCTGTCCCTTTTGAATCAATTATATTTAAAGGAATGGTTCAGTCATATTTGTTGGTAAAGCTCTTGGGGAAAAAATGTTTCTGTTGAAATTACACAAAAATCAGGAGAAAAGCAAAGAGGATGGTGACAGAGAACTGGAGCCAAAATGCTTTTGAAAATTTTTGATAAAAATATTTACACCCCATAATTTTTTTGGAGTGAAACGCAACTGCGGAGAAATGAATTTACGCTTCTACACAGTAGGTGGCAGTGTACTCGAAAAGCTGTTCACGAGCCGACAGTTTGTCAAAGAAGAAGAGACCACATCCTCCCATTCTCAGCTGGCGCCGAGAACAAAATATTTCGGGAGCGTTGGAGTTATTTTCAGGTTAGTAAAAGTAGCTAACTAAATGGGTTTACATTTTTAAACCATGGCATTGAATTTTATGTGGAAGAATCCCGCGATTTTTGCTTCCAATGAAAATAGCGTAGTGCTTAGAAAGTAATTGACGTTGCGGAGACCTTTAAAAGCCATTGCAGTTGTTACTCTGGCAAACATGGTCAGAGTGCTGGAACTCCTCTTTGTTAACGAATCACTGTTTTTTTTTTTAATTTATTTTTATTTTTTAAATTATTATTATTTGCCTTACAGATTTCTGATGGGGACCTCAGAACAACGCGAGGAAATAATCATCCTGAGTGATGACGAAGATGATAAAGACACTTCCTGCCTAATTGTGGAAGTGGAAGCTGTGAAAAAGACTGGTAACGTTGCATTTACAAATCTTCTAATATTTTTTATTCGTTTCTGAATGCCTCCAACAAAACGTTGCTCCTTCTCTTTTCAGTTGTTTCACCCATAAGCCCCCAGGATGAAGACCTGGTGGTCACCTTCTCCCGTCGGCCTGACGTGTTTCCTCACGCCCGTTACGACTGCCCCATACATCCTTTTATGTGAGGAAATTCTTCCACAGACCCACTAATACAGATTAACGTGTAATAATTTCGTGGTATAGTAGACAATCTCTGCTTCTTTTCTGACCTGCTCAGGCCTACAGATTGCGAGAGGACTGCTCCGATGGCCAATAATCAACTTATTTGTGATCAGTGCTTCTGCTACATCTGCGACAAGCTGGCATCACTGGTGCGTGAGGATCATGTTTTTATATCCCTTACTAGAGATGCACCAATCAGACTTTTCCTGGTCAATATTGAAAGTTTTTTTTCTGTAGGTTTTATCTGCTGATTAAGACTTTTTTCTTCAAAATGAATGCTTTACAAATCCATAGATCAGGGATCCCTGTTCTTACTTCTTTGTGGGGTCCCTGCTGGACTTTTTTATATGTTGTTCCTTCAGTAAAACTCTTCCAGGACCCTGTCAGGTTCAGCTGATGCCTCAAAATGTCTCATTCACTGAAATCAGTTGTGGTGAAGCTTGAGTGTCATTTTTGATCAAATAAAATAAAAAATGATCATCTAACAGTGTGTATTGTGGTTGTGTGCCAGTGTGGGATGTGGTGCAGCAGTGGAATGTGTCACTGCAACAGCCACAACAAAAGTGACTTTTGGAACAGCGTTAGGAACAGGACTCTCCTGGGGGAACTGCAGAGATTCAACCTCACACTGTCAGAAGTCGACCATCATCTTCGTAATGCAGGTGCAAAACGTCATCATGTACTTAAAGGCATCTGATCATGTTCCTTTTTTAAAGTTTCTCTTTTTTTTCTTTGTTTGATTTGTCCAACTCCTTTTCAGACACGATGTTGCAAAGCTTCAGAGGCGAACTGTCAGCTCTGTTTTCCTCCATTACGTTGGATCAGGCGATGGTGCCAGATTACAACATGAACCAGCAGGACCTGAGCTCCAGGTGAGCTGTTTAAATCAAAACTTAAAGGATACATTTGAAAAAAACTGCTTAATGAATAAGCGTTGCCTTTAGAAGAGAAACGTGCTGCAATAATCTTACTTGAAGATTTTACAGGAGACCTGCTTGAAAAAGTTGAGAAACTACAGATGACATTATATCATTTAAAAACATATAATAAGCCAACTTATTCCCTTTTTTTTTTCTTTGTTTCCCAGGTATGAACCTGTGCTTGAGTGTGTGAACCTGTTCCTCAATAAAGCCGACAAAAAGAACAGTCGGGCTGCGGCCATCATGCATCTTGGAGCTGCTGAAGAATTTATGAGACATTTTCAAGAGTTGGGGTGAGCAAACTGGAGGCGGCTTCTAAATTTAATTCAGGATGTGGGATTTGTTAGGTTTAAGGCCTAATGATGGAAATGTGGAGTATTTTTACATTTGTAGACATTATTCATCATCTGTTTGTCTTTGTGTCATTTCCATCTGTCTGACAGCCTGTGATGTTTACAGGTGTTGTCAGATCTGAAATTCCTACAGTAAATCATAACATGCTGCCATATTTATACCTTTAAAATGGGTCAGTAATGGAGTGCAAACTATAATTAGAGAATGGAAAAGTAGAGAATTTGGGAATTAAAGTGTAGGAACATTGTCAGCTGTTCTCTCTCCTTCACTCCATTTTTTTTAAACATTTACAGGTTCATGGGTTCATCTTCAGCTGCTACAACCTCTGAGACTATAATAATGTTACTGCACAGGTAAAGAATAGGGATGCAGCATAATTAAGTTTGTACATTTTATAATCTTTGGGGAATTATTAACATTTTAATATTTTCTGTTAAACACATTTTGGTCCTCAAAAAGGAACCTGACATTATTGGCTACAAACATGTTAACATGTACATATGATTATTGTTTTTTTCCAGTCATTCTTTTGGATAATAACTTTGCTTTTTATGGTATTTTTTCCAGAGTAATATCATCAGTACAGAGATGTATAATAATGGGTGACATTACGCCATCGTTTATGCAAAAACTGCAAACTTTTTACCAGAACAGGATATGTTTCCCAGCTGACATGAGGTTGCTAAAAAACAGGTGTGTATCAAAGCATTTTAATTCTTAAAGGTTCAAATCCTTCATATTTGGACGTAACCTTTCATCCATGTGCTGCAGTCTGACCATCCGACCCTGGCAGGACATCCTGCTGGTGTCGGTGCTGAAGGGGCAGAATGTGTCGGGAGTCCGAAAGGACAAGGGCAAGAAGGACGTCCTGCTCGAAACCATTTCTGTGGTTTTGCTGAGAACTGAACTGCTCCAGCTTCAGTCCAGGTTAGCATGTGTGCTACTTCATACCGGTGTCAATATTTGTACATACAGTCCGCCTCTGGAGGAATGATGAAGCATCCTGTGTTTTAACTGTGTGCAGGTACAGAGAGTTGTGTCGGTATCTGCGAGTTGTCCTGACCGATAACATCACACTGTGAGTTTAACCCATGTCCTGCTGTATAAAAATAACCAGTGTGTTTTATGTCTTTTAAAAAATATCTCAGGTTAAGTTATCACTTTTAAAAGAGAAGATTTTGACCCATTTGATCATCCAAATATGTATTTTATTTCTATTTCCCACTTTATACAATTTTTCAAACCTGGTTGGTTTTGGCTGTTTCTGTTTCTTTTAAGAGAAAGTTCATTCGTAGACGGAGATATGTAAATCATTCAGACACAAATAGTAGTAAGTTGTTTTATTTCTTGATTTGGAATCAGGTATCAGCATCTCCAAGACCTCATTCCTTTCTTCAAGTGTAAGTTGGGAGAGTTTGGGTCTGCATTGGAAAGCCTCTTTCCCCCGGTCAACCTCCCCGCCTCCCGCTTCACTCCGGCCATTTTCCTCCTCTACCTCCGAATATTTGAGACGGCAACGGCACCGAGGCTGACGGTCAGCCAGCCGGAGCAGCTCTGCTTCTCTGGGGCATCCTGGGAACCGATTAAAGGTCAGAAAAGGATTGTTTATTTTGAACAAAACATCAAGAGGAATGTTTTTAACACGTCTCCTGCATGTAGATGCTGTGCCACTGAAGAGGTCTGAGCTGGTGAAGTTTGCTCTCAAAGCCCAGAGATGCTCCTTGTCGGTCTACTCAGATGTAAGTCTGCAGCTCTTGTTTCTGCTGAAATGTTTCATGAACATCTTGCTATGCTAAAAGAAAAACCACTGTGAACCACTACAACTCTTCAACTGTTCAGTTAACACAAGTCAATTATATCTTCAAGTGTAAGAACTTCACCACATTTAAACGATGACTAAAAGGAATAGAAAAAGATCTGGGGATAAACACAGTTGACCAGTTTCCTAATAGTTAGTAGAACAACCTTTAGCATCACTTACTCTTGTTTTATTTTATCTGTCTCAAATAAGATTGAATTTCAGCCCAAACTTCTTAAAAAAGCATTCATTTATTTTATTGAGATTTCCATGCACTGATTTTTAAATGACTTTTTTTTCAGCTTATTGTCCTTTTGATTCTAGAACAGTTCAGGTTGACTGTAACTCAGTCAACAGCTGGAGCTCCCAAGTCTTTAGCTCTTCTTGGTATTGCACCTTTTGGTGCTTTAGCTGGAAAGGTCTCTCACTGTTGCCTGCACATCACTGCTCCGGCTCTGTCTGGGTTAAAGGCTGTTTATTGGTCAGCAGGGCTCTGAATGTGTCGGCCTCAGATATATTTCAGAGTAAGATGAGACTTGTGTAAACGCATTGGCTCATCCAAAGTCTCAAACACCTTAAAAGAACAACCAGGACTGAAAACATTACGGTACTGCAGATTTTTCGTAAATTTGTTTTATAAATTCCTTTATGTCATTTCTTAACTGTTCTTTATCATTGAATGTTTCTTTTTATATGACTCTTTCTCTTACTATCTCATTAATTTTTCTGTATTGTAGCCTTCTCCTTCTCTACATCAGTTCCTTTATTGTAGTGAAAAGCAGTTTGATCTTGTGAATAAATGGTGTTGTATCACTTTATGTTTCACATACAGATTTTCCAACTTGGCTTTATATTTTTTTTGTGAAAAAAAAAGACTAACCCTAATTAATATTTTTTGTATTTATATCCTATAAACTGTGGTGAGGCTGCGTGTTGGACAGTTTGACCGATTTGTGTCCGGTTCTCTCCTGAAGTCTCAGTGTTGGACCAGTTTACTGAAAGTGGTTTGCTCTCCTCATGGCTCTCCGACTGCCTTGCCCGTACCCAGCCAACAGTTTCTATACGTATGTTCTCCAGTTTTAATAATTGCTCCTGAAACTCAGGATCTACTATTGATTAATGCTCAGTGTTTGAAGTTTGTGTGTCTTGTTCCTGATGGTCCAGGAGTCGCGGGATGCCGTTATAAACCAGCTCAATCAGCAGGGTTACAACATACAGATTTCCCGCTGCTTTCTCAGGGTAAGTTTGCAAAGATTTTTTGTAATAAATATGTGACTCATTTATACTACTGTGGTAACGGGTTGTGTGTTTTGTTCACAGACATACCCAGATCAGGCCTTGTTGCTGTTGGTAACAGGAGCCTTGGGTGTCAGAATCCTTCAGGGTTCTTTTAGTCCAGCTCTGCCTGTTCTCCATGCTTATAAGGTAATGTCTCCCCATATGAAAGCAATGTGGCGAGGTTGCTGACTGCGTTACTGGCCTTTAGTCGGCGCTAGCAGCCGAACACGGACAACATGAAGTCTATGATAACCAGAGCTTATTGTTGCTTTAGATTAGGTTTTGTAGGAAGTGGATGATTTGATTAGCATTTTTATGCTAAGCCTTTAGGATAATTCACACCAAACTGTTTACATATTTTTATTTTTTTTTTTTTATTGCCGCTGTTTAATATAAAAGCTACATTTTAAAATATTCATTTGACAAATGGCACATACCGGTAATTAATTTTGGGGCAGATGCAGAAAATACATTTAAAATAACTTTTCTATGTGGTTTATAAATCTGAACTATTATTAAAACTTAATGTAAAAAATGTTTTTTGTTTATTTATTGTTTTAAATTAAAGTGTGTTAATTAACCATTTTGGTTTGTGGGTTTGATTCCGTGTTGCAGGACAACTCGTGGGCCTTTCAGTGGCTGTGTGACGGCATGACTTCCAGTGAAGACCGTCTCAGCTCCTTCCTGAAGGAGATCACACACGAGTCGTCCAACACACCAGGTATAAGGACATGATGTCATGGCGATGGGCCAGGACTCTGTCCTGGGCTATAAGTTAAAAAATGTTTACATCTGGCTGCAGTCCATTTTGGCTAATTATTGAAGTACCACTGATTCAGAAAACATTTTCAATAAAATTATGTTGCTCAGATGAAAATATTTGGGGTTTTATTTGTTTATTTCTCCCTTTAGCTGACAACACAGACTGAATATAACATTTTGTAATGGTAATAAAAATTCCTGAGTTATGTTATTGAGCGATTTATTTATTTTTTTCCTTTTGAAGCCAAAGTTTGACTTCTTGATTACACAGTAAAGTACATAAAACCTGTTTATATCTCTATGATAGGCCGTAGGTCCAAATCTTAAGATAGCTTTTTGCATTATTTCCTCTTTCCTTCAGCTGAGAATAATGCAAGTTCAGTAAAAAAAAAGAAAGTCCAAAATCAAAAGCACTAATCATAGTATTAAAGGCATCTTTCACTGTTTTATAGGCATGTTTTGGTTGTTGTAATTAGCATTTATTACTGTCATCAGATTCATTTTGACGTTTATGGTCGGGTTGTCCTTTTTGTTTTTTGTGGCGGAATACCCCTTAAAACTTTGACTTTGCCTGTGTCGTCCTGATGATCCAATCTGATTTAAAAGGAGATTTTGTTAATGTAGCAAAAATAATAAACCTTCAGCTCAACATGGAGGTTGTCAAAGTTCTTATCAGTGATGAACAGAGCTTAGCAGCAGGGACCTAACTGGAGCTGCAGGACAAGGCCCAGCTCAGGGTCCTGGTCCTGAACGTTGTCAGTCTGTGGTGGGACCATGTGTGTGCTCCTGGTGCACATGTGAGGGGACATAGCTGTTTGTGTTCTGTAGCATATTGTTGACAGAAGGAATTTCCCTTTTCAAACTCTGAGCCTGTGTTTTCACGGTGAGCTCAGATCAGCTCCGCCTGCAGACTTGAATCTTTCTGCTCTGAACTAAACCTGCTTCTGTTTGTGAATACAACCTGCACTCAGATCTGTTCTGTCTGCTGGTGAACCCTTCTGAGCGTACCAGACGCTCCCCAAACAGGGCAGCAACGTCACCATCATGGTCTTACTGTTACCAAGCTGAGTAGCCATTTGTTTTGGGAGGGAGCAGAGAAAAAACACTCCTGGGTGATTTCATCCCACAGTGAATATGAAGCGCAAAGTAATGGATTCCAACAGCGGAAGAGGCATTTATTATTATTTATTGAATTGAAGGTTCTCAATCAATTCCACGGCCAAGCAGCTGACATCAGCAGGTGTGAGGCAAAGTTTGGGCTTGGCAGCCATGGAAACAGCACTTGAAGTAAAAAGTGTAGTAAAGAGAATCTGCTGATGTTTCTGACATTTTGAAAGGAGTTTGGAAATCAAATCGGCTCCAAAACACAAAACCTGCCCTGGAGGAACCGGACTGACCTGAATCAGTCCTGGAGATCTTTGGGATGAATCCAAGTAGAGATGGTGAGCACTTCTGGAATATTTGTCAGTTATTCCCAGAAACATTCCGAAACCTTGTGAAGAGGTTTAGAAATGTCACTCAGGTTTCAATGTGTGAAGGCAGACCGGCCGACTTTCAGCTTTCTTTCTTGTTTTAAAGTAAGAGCAAATATCTGGGAGTAAAAATAAGGAGCCTTGCTCTCAAACTGAAATTTTTGTTTGGAAGAAAAATATTATGTGTTATGCAGCTGTACAATTTATACAAAGGCAAAAAGTAGTGAATCAGTTTTTTCTTGCAGCCTGTTTGTGTTCTTTTCCCCAATAATCTCATCTCTTTTTTTCTTTTAACTCTGCAGGAAATCAGACTGGTTGTTGATTTCAAGCCCTTCCAAGAAACGTTTTCTGCAGAGGTTCAGCTCTGAAGCTCTAAAGTCTCGCCTTGTTGATCTTGCCTGTGCTGAGCCTACTTCTTCTGAAAAGAACTTTTTCTTTTTTAACTCGATGTGAAGCCATGTGGGACTTTTGTTGCATTTCTTGCTTATTTTAAGCACCATGACGGTAACGCTGAGCAACAGTAGGATTCTGCTGTCATGTGCTGTACATTTGAACCTCTGTCTGCAGCGCGGTGGATGGCAGGAATGTGCATCACGTGACACAGAGAACTGTACTCTTTCACACTTTTGTTACCATAAATTAACAATTTTGTTCTCAACACATTTTCAGTTTGAATTCCCTCATTTATCTGAATGTAATTTAATGAAACTGGTTTTTGATGCGGTGTACAACAACACTGGTTTTAGACCATAACCTGTAGATGTTGCTTTATACAGTTTGATAATCAGTCAGCTGTTTAAAAAACAATTTAGACAAAGCTGAAAGATAACTTTAAAATTAGTTTTTATTTAATTATTTGGTTAAGTTGATAAAAGTTCCTATGCAGATCTGGTTTACAGACATGCACAACAAAATGAACATTTCAGATGGAAAAATAATTATTTCCATACTTTATTTTCTGTCTCAAGAATGTATTCATTTTCTACTTTCAACAGTCGTATTAAATCTACTTTAAATATCAACCAAATACTTGCTGAGTCCAGCTAAGGTGGAAATAAATTCTGTTTCTGCTCCTTCTAATGATTTTTTTCCTTGTTCATTAGGACTCATAATGCCATCAGTGTTAATAAATTCTGAGATAAACTGGTTTAATAAATGAATCCAGTGTTTGGACTTTTTTTGTTCTCTGACTTTATTTTCAAAGTAATCATCCACAATAGAACATATTGCATTTATTACACATATAAATAAAATATATCCCAGTAATTTTGCACTCTAGCTTCTTTGATTTTAAAACTAACGTAAGAGGTAAAGTACAGTAATAGGTTAAAACAGTCAAAATTTGGCTAATTCTTCAAAATGGAAAACTTTCAGTCATTGTTAGAAAAGGTTTATTTTATGCATTAATGTTAGGAAGCACAACACTTATGCGGATGCAAATTGCTGACAGTGCAGAAGACCTAAACAAAAACAAACCCTCAATTTTAAGGTTCTTTATACTTTGGATTAGATTTAATAAATTTTAAAAAGAAATGGTGCAGATTTTGATTTTCTCTGATTTCACTTTGTTTTACATTGTCTATAGTCATGACATTTATACTTAGGGGTGCATAGTTTGACTAGCTGAAATCATCTAAATGACAAAAAGATTTTTATTCTGAAAAAAAACAAGCAGAAGTCCCAGTACCAGACTAACTGGAACCATGTGGTGCGCAGGTTATCTTTCCTTTGGCTTATTTATTGATATGTATAAATTTATGATGAAGGTATAATTTAATTTTGTGGACTGGTGACCTGTTCAGGGTGGAGGTCTACACCAGCTCTTTCATGTCCACCTCCAGGTCAAGCTGATGGGTGTAGACAGTTAACATTCATATTTGTTTGAGTCTTAAATGTGCACATGTTTATATTGATTTGAACAATCCTTTGTGCACATACAACAGCTCCTAATTACACCAAAGGCACGTAGCAAAATAAAAGCATCTTGTGAGTCTGCTCTGCTCCTCAGTCTGTTTATGTTGAATATGTGTTCCTGTGAAGCTGCACTGAGCTGTAGGAAAACCTGAGAGGCGGCGGTCCATGTCCGGTGTGGCGCTGCGCGATCAGGTCAGTCAGAAAGTGCATCACTTGAAAATCATTTTCACTGCTATAGAGTTGTTGTGCTTGCTGCGAGTCCTTTTCCTCGGGAATGGCTCTGTGAAGCTGGGAAGCAGCGGTGAAGGTCTGCAGCAGCACCCGGTTGGCCAGCGCAGTCAGGCAGCTCTCCAGGTGCAGCAGGTAGGTGAGGCCGCGGCTGATGCCGGTGTGAGGGTTGGCTAGGAAGCCAACTAGGGATCCGGCATATGAAGGACAGCGCAGCGTCTTCTGATCCAGGTCCAGCAGAGCGATGTAACGACTCAACTGAGTCAGAGACTGAAGGACGGAAGATGATGCACTGGAAGATGATTTGGAAAAGAAAACAAAGGAGGATCTTATGAAGTTCTTGCATATGAAACTTTGCCTATTGCCTATTTACCTATTTAAATAGGTAAGTCTGAATTGATTTACCTATTTAAATGTTTTCTGTGGTACAACAATAGTTACTAACCTCATTATAAACTGCATGAAACAAAAGTTTCATGCAGTTTAAAAGCTGCTATTTATGTAAGAAAGTTCAGCTTTGTCTGGTCACGAATAACAAACAAATCTGTGTGGAAGGACTTTGGAAGGATTATAAAACCTTCTAAATGCATTGATTGGTACTAGAGGCGCACCAATTTATCAGGGCCAATTTCCTTCATTTTGGGAGATCAGTGATTGGCTGATACTTCCATGTGAAGTCAATCTTATCCCCCAGTCTTATCTGTTTCAAGCAAAGGTCTAAAAATCAGACGGTCTTCTTCTGCTTTCCTGTTAGAGGTTTGACTGTTGGATCGCCTCACCAGCTCATGTCTGCACGTCATCCTCACTACTGGCAACTTTCTTGCTATACTTTCTAACATATACTAACATTTCAGACAAATGAATTGCAATTTTTTTGTCGACATGTCACGCTTTATAAAGAATGGTAATTGGCCAGAAAATTGCAATCGGTCCAAGTTTATATCAAAAACTTTTGGGACAATCGCCTGTCCAGTAACATTTGTTACTCTGACAGGCAGCACCAAACCTCAAGAGACAGGAGGAATTAATAATGTCAACAAACCAATGCAGAAATATGGACGAGTCATATAACAGTCACCTGTGTATTCCTATGAGCCTCCAGGTGAGCAGGTCAGTCAGCTGGAGGGACGTGGCCAAACATGACATCACAGCGTACCCATCAGCACCAGGAGCTGGCAGGAAGAGCCTCAAGCCGTCCACCAGCTTCCTTACCAGCCGCTCGTCTCCTCCAATGATAACCAGCGGCCGGCCAATCAGCAGACAGAAGATGGCATGCTGGGAGAAGGAGAGCTGCTTGATAAACCTGAGGGCTCGCAGGCCAGCTCTCCTCCTCTTTCTTTTCTTTTCCACACATGTGCTGGTGAGGTTGAATGTGGTGGGAGATGGTGGCTCTGAGCTGCTGGTGAAGCTGGTACAGTCAGAGAACTCGTCCACGCTGAGCAACCTCAGAGGAGCATAGGACGGCGTGCGCACAGCTCCCTCCGCCTCGACGCTTTTCAAAGCCATTTTTACAGGGAGGTCAAACACCGGCCTCGACTTCTTCTGCCTTGACTCCACTGTGTCTCCAGCTGCGTGGAAACAGATTCACGTAATTACAGCAAAGTAAACCGGTAAGCTTTCCTAGTACAGACTGGACTCAGGGGTTTGTGGGCTGGTGCCAGTTAAACTGGACATAAACTGCCCAGTTTATGTCAGGTACAAGGAATGGGAGGTAAAGTCTAAAATCTTTTGAAAGATTACAGGAAGATCTGACTGCCTTGGATAAAATAGTCATATATGTTGTTAAATGTACAGTAAATGTGTTACCTTGGAGCAGTTTATTCATCTTGTCTTCATGGACTTGGTTATTCTTCTCTGTGAGTGAATTGTCTTTGTCTGGAACATTGAACATTATTTCCTCCAAAAGTTCTTTTCTTCCCCGAGATTCTGCCCTTTCCTCCCCAGCAGTAGCAGTGTTCTTCATCCACTCCTCCTTGAGGACTTTATCATCCTCTGACTCTTCCTCTTCCTCAAATCCATTGGTCAGAGTGTGATGCTCCGCCTCTTCCTCTGTGATGGCAGACAGGTCGTCAGGGACGATGGACTCAGTCGTGCTGAGAACCTCGATGCTGTCCTCGCTGTTGGCACGCCTGGCAGAGGCTCTGAGGCGCCGAACGCCTGTGTCTCCTGCTGGATGCTGGAGAATCACGTCTGTCGTCCCGACACGAGTTTCTGTCCAGAACAACACAAACTGCTGAACCGACTGTTTTCAGTCAGATCATTGCTGTAATAAAATGCAATAAAACACATCTAGATGGATAATTTTTAGAAGTTTAATTACTTGATAAATTGCTAAAAGGCATAGTTTGAATTGTTTTCAGATGTGCTTCTGTACCACTCTGTTGAGAAAACGAGGCACAGATCATTAACTGTCCAACAGAAACAAGGTGGAAAAATAACACAATAAAGTACTGAATCTATGAAAAAGTCCAAATGTCCTATTTAAAACTCCATTCATCCATCCACTCATCCATCCATCCATTCTTCCATCTATCAATCAAGCTTTTCCCTATTGTCCATCACAGGGCAACACACATACACCTAAGGTTAATTTAGAGAGACCAGTCATGTTTTTGGACTGTGGGAGGAAACCGGAGTACCTGGAGAGAGCTAAGGCAAATCTACAGGGAGAACATGTAGACTCCACGGAGAAAGGCCCCGGGCCGGGAATCGATTCCATTTAACACTACAGACTGAATTGTTTCAGAAAACCTGCCTAGAGTCACAGGTCAGTCTTCCTATCAGACTGACTCGTCTCTGAAATATGAGTTTTGATGATGCCACAGGAGATTAGAACATCTATTCGTGATTGATAAGAGTCACAATCAATCATGCAGGTATTAAAGATACCATCAGGTGGCGTATCATTTCCACCAATATGTGCAATGGCAAAATAGACTTCATCACCCAGGATTTCAAAATCTAGTTTTTGAAAAGCAACATTGAAGAAAGAAAATGCTAGACAGTGTCTTGTGTACATTTGGATTGATGACATCACAAGAGGAACGGGACTTGAGCTTCTGTCAAATGAACAACTTCTGAAACATGGTGACGGTCTGAAGCGTCACAATCAGGAATTATTGATTTAAAACAATAATTCATATTTATTGCTGAAAATATATTTTTAAGTTAATTTCATCTTATCTCAGGTGTGCTAAGATATTTGCACTAGAAATAAGACCAAAACTATTTGGTAAGGTTCTATATTTTAGCAATACAGCTTTTCTTAATCTGGTTCATCAGAGACTGAAAATACTCATTACATTTTCTCCAAAAGGCCAGGAGAAACTCTTTCATACTATTTAGAGATGCAAGTTTTTGTTTTCCTTACACCATCACTCTGAGAACATACCTCTGCTGTCAGACACAACGGCTCCACGTTGACTCCGGTACGACTTCTCCGTCCCGAGAACCTCAATACTGTCGCTGCTGGTCACGCTGCCCATCATGTCTGTGAACGCGCTGGGGTCAGGGGTCGCTCTCCCACCTTCCCCTCCCTCCATCTTTATCTGTATTTCTTCCACACAGGAGAACAACTCCACACCATGCTTTTCTGATTGACCCCCCACAGCTCCCACGGTGTTCCCCAAGACTCTCTCTGCTTCCTCCTCCTCCTCTTCCTCCTCAGCATCCACAGGGCAGCACAGCTCAAACAGGAAGTTTGTAAGTTTCAGCTTCCTGGACAGTAGCTGTGAGATGTGAGCAGTTCGCAGGATGCTCCTGTCGCCACGCAGACATCGCTCTGTGTCTGCTAGCTGGTTTTTCACCAGGGACAGGAAGTAGAAGTTGCAGAGCTCCTCCAGTGGCTTCAGAAGCGACTCAGACCTGCAGGAGGCGATGGAGGGAAGGCAGGGAGAGGATGGCTCAGACGGCAGGTCGGCCATGTCGTAGGGCAGGAAGTCAGGCTGCTGGAGCTTCCTGTTTGGGTAGGATGTGACCTGGCGAAGCAGCTCTCTGTGATTCAGGATGAGATGCTCTA